TCTCAATATACAAATACTATTTGAGGTTTCGTCTTAATAATGACATAAAAATGATTCAATAAATTTTCAGAAAATTGGTATTCGACCAAATATTAGTGTATTATCTTAATCAACAAGACAAATTAAGACATATCTCCAGATAAGCTTATGATATCAGAATGATCCATGTATCAAAACGTAGCTTTTAAAGCCAAAAATTTGAAAATGTAATTAGGTCATTTTGACCAAATTTGACTTAATCCTCATTTCGATATGACGGGTCACATTTATTTGGCTTAACAACAAAGAACATAGCTGTGGAATGAGAGGAAAAACATGTAGCAATCACACTATTTCTCCACTTTTTATTCAGGAGTAACTGGACAGGTTCCCCACCTCCGAGAAATAGGTACCAGCTGCTGCTCCATTAACGACGGCATGACTCCGTCTGTCCTAAACAAACACTCAAAGATGGGTCTATTTAACCACTCCAGGTCTAAAAGAGTCTAAACCTGCAGTGGTTGCTAAGTACACACCATGTCAGCAAAACTATTTTAATGTCTTGTTATGATAAAACAGCTTTAGGTATTTTTTGCCTTTTGTGAATCCAAATCTTATCTCAGTCAGGCACTGAATACATTTCATTTCTTTGCTATGATTTTTTTAACAGAAATAACATTTTGTTATACTGCAGGTTGGAGGCACAATGTGGCTTTATCTGTCCTTTGTAACATCCTGCCTTTGTATTTGTTTTGCACTCACTTCAGCTAGAAGCTGTGTGGTTTATATGTATTCAGAATGAGAATAAAATGTTCTTGAATTCAAACAAAAGGGGCTAAAATTACAAAGTAACAGCGATCGAGGAGGTGAGACGAAAGCTTGTTGGGTGTGCAGAGAACAGGAAGGAAATTACACAGGTGTTATGTTTTCAGCACAATGGTCGTCCACCTATTTCTTTTGTTGCAGGTAATGGTTCTGATTGTTTTTCTTCTCTTCCCCCATTTCTGCTTGCTGCGCAGAAGTAAATATGGTCCTCGTTCATTCATTCATTCATTCATTCATTCATTCATTCATTCATTCATTCATTCATTCATTCATTCATTCATTCATTCATGTGTTTCTGAATCATCCTGTTTCTCCTCTCTTTCCTATTTAATCACGCACAGTTTAAAAAATTGTAGCATGAAGAAAACAGAGTGTTTTGTAACATCATAGCATGCAAACACACCCAGATTAACAGGCCGTTCTCCTTCCTCTTTTCACAGTTCTGACACTGTGCACGAGTGTCCCGATTACCGCACGGGCGGGAAGAACTCCTGCTTCTTCAACAAGAACGACACGTCCATTTGGGTCAACTACAACATCACTGTTGTGGCCACCAACGCTCGGGGAAGAACCTTTTCCGACCCGGTCGACATCGATGTTGTGTACATAGGTGAGAGGCACTCAGGTCACATGTGTGCTTTGTGTCACACCAAGTTACAGTGGCTTTTTTTTTACCGCTGCAGTTTTTAGTTCCCTGCCTCCTCCTGATTGTATCTGCTGACTGAAGGTTGCCGTTTTATCAACCTGACAATGTTACAGTTCATGAAACACATCAGCTATGAGCTACATGGAAGTTAAACAAACTGACCTGACAATAAAGAATTAAGTATTATTTAAATATTATTAGGTCAAAACTGGAAGTTATATGAGCCTGGCCTGCTGCCAACACTCTCAGAGCTTAGCGTTAGTTTTTAAATAACTATTTTCTACTTTTGAGGGAACTATACACATTAAATTAGTATAATGTTATCTTTTGGTACCTAAAATGCCTTTATTTGAGTCTCACAAACAAGAAATGTAAAACAATTGAAACAGTCATGTCTCAGTCATGTAAACTACAACTGCTAAAGAGAACTGGCTCATCCAGTTATGTTGCTCATACAGGAGTGTCATGGTATAGCTACTGAATAATCCACCTTGGCCTTGAGGTTGCTTATCTTTATGTTGCACCTCTTACACTTTGTCTCTAACAGTCACTGCATATCAGGCCTTTGTAGTATCTGTTTTCTTGTCTTACCTCAACATGGCCATTTACGTCTCCAAATAAAAACTTAAAGTCTAAACATTCTCCACCTATCTCAGCCGTGACGTTGCGCGTACGTCAGCAAATGTTTCAAAGGTCACGGCTGTAGTGTCAGTGTTCCTCCACTGGAGGTGTCTTTTGTTCTGCTGTAATACACCAGAGGACACTCAGTCTCATTTTTCCTTTTTATTTGTTACTAAAGTTGATTCTTTGTTCGTTTTTGAGTCCTTTCTTCTTGTGATTCACTTTTCTCTTTGCTTCGCTCTCAGTCAAGCCCAACCCTCCAGAGAAGGTGACGGTGAATACTACTTGGGACAAAAGCTTGCCCTACCTCCGGGTGTCCTGGGAGCCCCCACACAAAGCTGACACCCGCTCTGGTTGGATCACTCTCATCTATGAGCTCCGAATCAAGATGGAGGGTGACGATGAATGGGAGGTAAGTAGTGGAGTGGCCTGACTGGTTCAAACGTTAAAAAATAAATAAAAATAAGAATTTGCATGTTAAGAGCTGACTCATCACAAATGCCACGCTCACACGTTTAACCAAGCTTCATGAACTGATTGATTTTTATGTTACGTTTGTTTTACTTTCCAGGAACACCCAGCAGGCCAACAGAGAGTTTTCAATATTTACAGCCTCCGCTCAGGTGGAACTTACCTGGTTCAGGTGCGCTGTAGGCCAGATCACGGCTTCTGGAGCGAATGGAGTGACTCAGCCTGCATCGAAGTGCCCGACTGTAAGAAATCCACCAATACTGTCACTTTTATGAGAGAAAAAGTCTTCGTCAAAAAAATGACTGATTCGGGATTTTACTGTTCATGTTGAAGCTTTTCTTCAAGTAGAGTTTTGCTGAATCAAAGAGTAAAATAGGTTTTGGAACGTTTCTGGTCAGAGATCAAAGCGATATTTGTTTATGTAGCCCAAAAAGACATCTTTACTTATTCATCTTCAGAACTGCTGATGGGTTTAATTTAAATGAACAAACACAGCCATGCTTGTCGTACTCCCCATTTGTGTTCTATATACTTAGTTAACCATACAAACAAGTTCAAAGTTGAAATACCAGAGAGAATGTGTATAAACACATTTAGAAATGGGATGTTTTTATTTATTTATTTATTTATTTATTTATTTATTTATTTATTTATTTATTTATTTTCAAGGATGGCTGGGTAATTTTTCAGACATTGTTTTGCTTCTATTTTTTTCTTTCAGACTTCCATCAAGAAAAGTCCATGTGGATCCTCATCTTGATTTTTTCTGTTTTCATCTTAATCATCCTCATCTGGGTCATACACATGAACAGCCACACGTAAGACCAATCAAACCTTTCTAATGCAATGTCTCAGTACTGTTCAGTAGTTCTGCTGCCGTCATAGACATGATCATGCTCTGTGCGCTAATTCGGTGATTCTTAATATGGAATATAGGTCATCCGAGGAGGTTGTGACAATCACTTCTAAAGGTTGCCATATGGTTGGAAAAAAAAAACAGCCTTTGTAACCTCTGGTAATATGTGAGCACCAGTGATGAAAAACTGAAAAAGTCGAATTGTCACGGTCGCAGGAGGCTTGAAACCAGAAAGTAGAATGAATTGAGGCGTTCAAAAGATAAACTGAATTCAGGGCTGAGGAGGCACCTGAGCTGTTGCTGACTGGTTGCAGACACACTGGAGAAACACCAAATACCTGACAAATAACTGAGGACAGATGAAATGATGCCACGAAGGGGCGATTTAACTCAAACAAGTCAAACTAAACACAGAAGAAACCCAATAAACCACAAAATATTTAACACAAAATTAACAAAAGATCATGACACAAACTTAGTTCTTACTCAAACTAAAGCAAGAAAATTACTATTTGCACATCTATATAATCAAGTTTTAGTGTAAAATGTTGCATGAAGGGTGGATTAGTATCTGAAAACACTAGAGAAAAGGGAGTTTTTGCATTTACATTTAAGAGAGTTTTCCTTGCAGTGCACACGACTTGACAGAGAACGGATTTAAATAGGCCGTCTTTGCCAATTTCTAATCTTTGCATTTTGCATTTCACTACAAACTGAGTCTAAAATGGCAGATTAAGTTCTGTCAAATTCAACCTTACCTTGAATCTCAGCATAATTTTTGCAGCACTAAAATTTTTTGCTGCTCTTTGTGTTCTTGCTCCTTGGTTTTAGCACTTAGTTCATCACAATCTAGGGTTTGGTCAAGTTGAACCTGCAAATAGTCTTTATTTTTATCTGAACCACAAAACCTTTTTTAGGTTAGGCTTATGCAACCTGGCTTGTTGCATGAAGAAACAAATGTGAGTTGATGTTAATTGACCGAAGAACGTAAATAAGTCCCAAAGTGTACATGCACACACACGTTTATGATAGGGGTCACACACACCAGTCTGATTTTTTCAAGGGATGATAAGAAATAAAATAAAATCCTGAGAACCGCTGCACTAATACGTCATCAAGCCACTAATTCGCACCAGACTGCTTCCACTTTTAGATCTATTGTCACACCTGTCAGTATAACAATTGTCAGAAGTCTTTTTCTAGTCGACTGCAGGGCCCTTTAGCACAGAGTCACTGCTGGGGTTATTGCAGGGCTGACTGAGTGCCTGAAATCACATCCTTTCAGTTTTCAAGCCTTTCTACAGTTTCTCCCAAAATCTTTAAATGCTGCCTTCAAGTGCTGAGAATAAAGCAAAAATATGATATCCTGTACCGAAAGCTATACTTTAAGCTATACTCCTAAATAGTATAGTTATTTGCATTAGTTTTAATATCCATGTCGGCACATATTTCTATGGCATGAGCTATGGTTTTGTAGAGCTTGTTTGCTGTTTTTGTTTCAGTTTATTTATTATTGTGTTGTTTTTTCCCTGCTTCCTTATTTTGAGATCCCTTTATTTTCAGTTGTCTTCCTGTTTTAGTGACCATTGCTCCCTCAGCCGTTCTCACCTTTAGCCTGCCTCTTGCACCTGCTCCTCATATTTATTAGACTCAGCTGTTTACAGTAGTAATCATTTATCCCAGCCTATGTATGCTCCTGCTCCTCGTTCATTCATCAGTTTGTCTTGTTCGATCCCTGCATGCTCCTCATTGTAGCCATCTTTGTGTTTTGTCATGCTGCCCTCGTCAGGCTTTAACGTTTTTTTTTTTAACAATTTGTTTTAAATTACATTCAGCTTTTGAGTCTCGGTCTTCATCCTTTTATCTTTACACACCACACCCTCACATGTTCTGGTATACTTAGCACAAAAACTAAGGAACTTTGCATTTGGTAAATTAATTTGTTGTAACAACAATTCTTGGCAGTAAATTTTATATCAGGAACCTGATTAGCAGGGAGTACCAGAAACTCAAAACAAGTGTCAATAGCAACAGCAGAATGAGCTGTTTGGCAGAGAAGATTTGGCAAAATGCTCATGTGTGCAACCCACATACTCAGCTCTGCTACACATCCCACAAATGCATGTTCCTTACAAATGTGGCCTCATTGAAAACAGAAATTAACAGACTTTACATTATATTTATTGCCAAGAAGCAATGTTACAACAAAGAAATAATAAATGTTCTTACATTTTCTGTCGAGTTTATAAATAAGTCAAATGATTTGTAAATTGCTTCTTTTATTTTTTGTTTAGTCACTGAACTCTTTTTAGTTTTGGCAACAACAGAACTGTACTCAGGCTTACACGTGCTTTGAATCTGTACTTTTTTACAGTATACCAGGAAAAAAGCGGAAAGTTGATTTTTAATTTATTTGTTTCTACCTTTTTTTATCTGCAGCCTGAAGCGATTCATTCTGCCCCCGGTCCCTGGACCTAAAATCAAAGGATTTGATAAACAGCTCCTCAAGGTAAGAAACAGTATTTCAACGTTTTGAATTGGGCTGTGCATGAAATCAGGAAAGGTGCAAGCCTTTGCATCATTTCTTCTCTAAAACTTTTCGTTTTGCAGAACGGGAAGTCCAGGGACGTCTTCAGCTCTCTAGTAGGGTCTGATTTCCCTCCAACCACAACTAACTATGAGGACTTGCTCGTGGAGTACTTAGAGGTGTATGTTCCAGAGGAGCAAGAGCTGATGCCGGAGGAAAGCAAAGTTCCACACAAAAGCAGCTATCAATCCGAGACTTCCACTTCCGACTGCGACTCCGGCCGGGGCAGCTGCGACAGCCACACCCTGCTCGTGGATAAGAGCGAAGAAGACAAAACCATGGGACAGCAGTCAACTCAGCAGGGCGGTCAAACAGAGAGAGATTTAAAAAGGCCGGAGGAGTCCTCGGAGGAAAAATACCTGACATATTCTCACCAACTGGACCAACCAGACTCACCTGACTGCCTGTTCCCCCCAGGCCCTTTATCCTCTCACTTTTCTCCTCCTGGCCACAAACCGGTCCTCGGATCAAACTATCAGGAGTTTAGCTTTGGCAACACTCAACCTCATGCTCTCCATCACCAGACAGGGACCCATCAATACCTCCAGGATTACAGTGATATCAATAATGCCAATAAAGAAGCCCCTGCTGGCTTCCGGTTAGCCTCAGTTCGGTCCACTGAGTACGTTGAAGTCCAGAGAGTCAAAAATGATAACATGGTGCTACTCCACCCTGTGTCTTCAGATCCAGAACAGGGCGGTCCTGAAAGGCGCCACACGGAGGACTACAGCAAGGTGAAAGGGGTGAATAATGACAACGGGCTGCTGCTGCTCCAGAGAAAGGGTTCTGATAAAGAGATGGACATTTGCTCTTATGAGGACCAACAGATGAGCGAACCGGTCGACAGCGGCTACACGGCTTCCATCGCCGCCGCCCTACAGAAAACTCCAGCCTACGTTCACCCTGCCACACAAATCCTGGACGAAAGGGCAGCCGGCGGTTACGTGGACACCTCTATATTCCCTCTGCCCACTTACTAAATGCTGCAGAAGCTCAAGCAGCAGCTGGAGGACACTGCTAGAGGCGTGCTTTAGGCATGGGGACTGAAACAAAAATCAGGAATTAAAAAAACAAACACTGTTGGTTGCAAAGATGATACTTTGCCATCACTCAATTTGCATTTTGTTTTTCATTTTCTTCTGAGGTAACACTCCAATTTTGAATTACCAAAGCGATTTGTTTGAAAGATTGGACTCTTCATTCAGCTTCAGAAAGAATGAAAATGATTCTAGAATTTATGTGGTACTACTACACCTTTCTGTTTTGATCACTCTTTACCTCTTTTTTAAAAAGCTGCTTGTTGCATCCTGTTTATGTACAGACAGATGGCAAATTAAAAGAGAAAAACCCCAAACTTTGACCCATTGAGGAGATTTATGGCCTTACCAGGTTTTATGAGTTCATATCTCCCCTTTGAGGGAAGGGTCTCTGCAAATCAATGCAATGTTGTTCCTAGTGATTATGTCTGTTGTGCAATGAGCCATTTACATGCTGATGAGACATCGCAGTTGAACACCAATGGGGGGAAAATGGTTAGAAAGTTCCTGTAAGAAAATTATTAAAACACTAAATGTCTTTTAAATGATTTAAAACACTTATTTTTTTTATCTTGCCAGTAGAGTTTTGAAAGTGAAACTCTTTTTAAGATGTTGGTTTATATATGTATTTTAATGTATGTCTGTTTGAAAAAGTTTAACGTGATATTAAAAAACACGAATGTATAGCTCTATTTTTCACCCAGAGAAGATTTTTATGTAAAAAAAAAAAAAGGATTTTAAGAAAAACATTGTTTCTACAGATATATTTAGCTTTTGATGGAAAAATAGCGTCACACATCTGGGACGTCCCTGTTCAACACTGTGCTGTTTTGTTCGTGCATCTGTATGTGTAAAACTACATGAGGTGAAAATATGTTGCGATGATGTTTTGAAGCAGCCCTTTTTGAATGCTTGCAGTAAAAATCGTGTTTATAATAAATTCACAAAATGCTGTAACGGGTTGTTGCTTCTTCTATTTTTTTGCGCGTGTGTGCTTCTGTACTCGTTTTTTTTAAATAAAATTAATGTAGTACAGCTTAAAAAAAGAAAAGTTTAAGATTTCTTGAAGGGAGGCATAATGACTTGATGATTGTGTTTGTTAGGTTGATTATTTGTGGTTGTCATCTTGAATATTGGTATATGGTTGATGGTAATTGTTAGCAACTTTATTGATATAAATCCAATTATTAATTTCTGAGGGAAGCATAGTGGATCAAGCAGGTTGCAGGATTGCCTCCTGGCCAGGGGCTTCAGAGTTTTTGCATGTTCTTTCTGTGCACATGTGGATTTTCTTCAAGTATGTTTCCTCCCACAGACCAAAAACAGGCAAAAATAAGTTCACTGATAATTCTAGCACCGTCTCTAGGTGTGAGAGAAAGTGGGAGTGGTGGTTTTGTTTGTCTTTACGTGGTCTTGTGATGGATTTTTGACTTGTCCAACCATTTCACAGTGACTGCTGACAACAGACGCCTGCTCCCTGCGACCCAAAAAGAACAAGTTGGTAAAGATTATGGATGTTTTATTTTCTGAAAGTTCAATTTAAAAGGGGATATATCGTGCAAAATCCACTTTTTTAGCCATTAAATACATTTTGTTATGTAGAAAATTTTAACTTCTCCCGTTGCTGCAATAACTTTCCAGTATTTGGTTTGGGTTGTATTCATCAACCTGTTCAGTTTTCTCTGTTTTTCATGACGTTTTCTGAACTATTGCATCACAGTATTTGTGACAGACCTGACAAATCAAGTCTGGACTTACTAACTACAATTTCATCATCATCATCATTCTCCTCTGGCTCAGGATCAGACTCTGACTCTGGTTCCAACATGTAAGGTTGGATGAATAAGTCTTCCTTTGTTGACATCTTTTCGGAGGTATTCCCAACAGGAAAGTCCTTTGATTCATTTGTTTGGTCCTGTGGACTTTAATTTTTATTTATTTATTTTTTTTTTATTTGGTGCGGTTTACATTTATAT